AAAGAGACAATAACTGAGAAATGCACAAAAAGTTAAGATGGCTTGATCCAGGGTGGAGGGAATATTTACATATCTTAGAAATAATGTCCCTCTCATTATCCTTGAGTAAAGGATGACAATTAAAAGAGAATTTCTCACTCTCAATAAATAATGAGCATGTGCTGATAATCACATATCACATAAGTATGCAGGTGGGTGTTGGGGTGGGGAAAGGGTTAGGGTGTAAGTGTCATGTTTGTGAAGGTGTTTGTAGTGTAATGTGTTTGTTCAGTTTGCTCTCCTTTAGTTAATATATATGTATAATATTTGAATGATGACTATAAAGAATAAAATGTGGTTATGGACAAACATGCAAAATTGTATTAAGAAGGCCACCTCTTTTTTCTAATTATCTGCATTTAGCAAGCTTAAAATAAAACCTTATAACCAGTCTTAAATCTATTATAAAATAACTAAAAGATAAAAAACATATCTGATATTATGGGCTGAAAAATGTAATTTAACCTTTCTGTAATGAGAATCTGAAATCACTTCTCTTAATAATCCCAGTTTTTCTCCAGAAAAAATCTTTAAATATGTAAACTTAATAATATTTAGGACTTTCTCCTTTCATTCTCAAAGAATCTCCAACTTTCATATCATAACTAAAATAAGAAAATGCCTTCTGATTACCTTTACTAGCAGCATTCATTCAATAATTGTGCTTGTATTACTCAAAGATGCTTTTTACAACAAATCATCAAATATCAACTTCATCATTAAGTTGACATAATTCACTTCCTGTTGTTAATCATACCCTTGAACTTCCCCAATAAAGATGAGCTGTCAATATATATTTTTAGGAACATTTCTCCCCCTTCCTTAGGACACTAAAAATAAAATACAATGCCTCAAAATGCATATCAGAGTATAGGTGTATTTACTCCTAATGATCATAACTAATAAGAAAAGATAATTCAAACAAAATAAATGTTTGTAATACTATTTTAAATCATACTTTTGATTATCCATGCTACACAGGAGCAGTAAACTTATTCACATACTTTCTTCCCTAATATTTCTACCACTCATGTGTAGACAACTAGATATAATGGCTTTTACTGACCCCATCATGACACTTACTAAGTGTCATGATGGGATATACTCCTGAATAAGAATTCTCAAAATTAAATGTCTTTCAGCATTTAAAATAATTGACCAGAAAAATAATCAAATTTCACCATACAAAAGCAGGACAAGACACTGAAATACATCAACAACCCTCCCCCCCAAAAAAGTAAGTACCACTACAAAGATAATAGGCCTAATAAAATTCAGTATCATAAATACAATCAAGGCTTTTTTTGTCTGTGCAAAATATAAAAGTTGCACATATGCACACATACATGCATACAAACATTAGATAACTGTGTGTACAGCCGAATACTTTCTAAGCACCTGAATAACAGGATAATCAAAATGCCCTTAGCATTTTACATGACATAATTTAAAAGACAATTCATTTGTGTCTGTTGCCTGACATATGACAGGGTATATTCATTTGTTAATAATTTTCCTTTTCAACGATGATCATTTAAACCACCCATTAAAATAATTTAACTTTTTCTTGGTGCACAGAGGAGAATTAGAATTAACAGAGCTGGTGATACTCATAAAATCCCGGATAAATGTTTTCAAGACATCTAGCATTACAAATCTGAAATGCAAAATATTTTATTCATTACCATAAACATGAAAAAGAAAGCCAACACTCACCATAGACTTTGCTGTAACATTGTAGGGCAATAGGTTTTCCCGCTGACAGTAGACTTGGTGGTGCTCTGGGTAGTAGAAGGATTGGGGGCATTTGGTGGTCATCCTGGAGAGACAGTGACATGTTGGAAGGTGGTGCACCCTGGCTATGCCCACTGCTGCCCAGCTTGTTCTGCCACTGTGCCAGACGATCACTTGGGTGTTGGAGGATTGCTGGTACTGCTGTGCTGACTCATGCTGCTACTATGGCTGTAGCTCACTCCTGACGCTACGCTCCGCACGGCTGAAGAAGGGTATGGGGGTGGCGGTGTGGCACTTGAGCAATCTGTCCTGTGATTATTGGTGGTATGTATGACTGAATGGCGTGATGCTCCTTACGACTGAAGATGAGTACGGTTGTGGTGTGGCGACAAACTGCTGCTGAGCTGCCCGGACCACTGAGGACGGATATGGAGGGGAGGTGGAGGAGCCCCCACTCCTTAGCAGACTTTGTGTTGAAGGAGTAAAGGTGTTGACGGCGTTGATGGAATGGGAGAATGTGTGCCCAAAGGCGCCTGGAGTAAGTCAGGTTCAAATTCTGAAACTGCCGCACAAGAGACGAGGGATATGGTGTGGAGGAGATCTGCTCCATAAACACTCTTTAACACTTCAATGTTTGCATAATTATGATTGGAAGTCACTAGCGGGTAAACTACAGATGTCGTGCGGGGAATTCCAAGAGACGCAGAAGAGTCACTAGCATCTGTGGACGACACAGAATTTAAACTTGGTGGTTTCCAGATATGGCGGTGAGGGGGAGGGCAGTGGGACTGGGAGTTGCAACTGGGTGTGTGTGGGTCTCGTCAGGTCAGTGATTGGGGAACAGGAGGGTGGAAGCGCGTCGTAATATAATCCTCTGTGTCTGACCGAGTCACTACTCACACTCCACTGTGAACTGTGTCGTGCATTTTCCTGAACATAAGCATTGTTTCTAGGAATCACAAATTGCTTTCCTTCCAAATCCTGTTCAATACGCGGTGGTAAATGTCTATTTGACAAAGTAGGCCTATGCAAACTTCCCTCTTCTAAAATGGTTTGACTGGCTAAACTTGTCCTGTCAAGACTAGAACCTTGCAAGGAATGTACAAAACTGCTTCTTGGGCTGGAATGCTTTGAGTCCTGTGAACTTATACTAGAGCGTGGACTGGCATACTTATTTTCTATAATGGTAGCAGCTAAACTACCTGTGTCCATAATGTGATAAGCATTGATATTTTCGTAAGTATGTAGCTGCCCTAAAAAATTAGGATTCACAACAAATTCATTGGAATGCTGAGTCAGAGTTTGTGGAAGTTCGTGGATGCTGCGCATGCTGTCCCGAGGTCTGAGAATCGTGACTGCCGCCACTCAGGCTTGAGCGTGGACTCGAATGAGCAGAGTTGTTTAGATTGTTCCTCCCATAGATGGGAGGGGCTCATAGCGACATGGCCAGAGTAGAGTGCTGCCCATTGACAGCTTTGAGGTGTGCCCCCGTTCACCACTGCCCACTCTTGCCTGCAGCTGCTGTGGTGGGCGTGATGTGAGCATAGCCCACAGAGGCAGGGGTGGCGGTCTGCCTGTGACAAGCCCAGGAGCCGAGGTGCTGACGACCCGCCGTTGACACCACACACGACGACCCGCTCGACACGACCACGGGTCAGGCTGCTTGGGCGTGGCGAACTTGGACGCCTGGATCACACTCCGCGAGTCGAGTACCTTGTAGACCGGCGGGGGTGCGGCGCGGGGGCCTCGGTGCCCTCTTTGATCAGGCTCTCGATGGCGCCGACGCGCGGCTGAGGGAGCGGGCGGGTGCCGCGCCTGCGCCGCCCGCCGCGCCGCCCGCCGCCCGTGCCAGTATGCGGCCGTATCCCGAGGCGTCCTGATGCGCTGGTTGGCCTCCCTGGGGCCCGAGACGCCCTCGCCGCCCATGCCAGCACTGGGTGGGCGGCCTCGCTGCCCTTGCACAGGCTGAGAGTTTGTAATAGACGGCTGTCTCAGTGGCAGCATCGCTCCCATAACGGGCCATGGCTATGTCACGCAGTCGCTTCTACATTTTCATAGAACACTTTTCACTTGGACCGAGTCATATTCTAATTGCACACTAAAATAATGTTTTTCGATGTGATTCACTGGCGACAACAAGTGTCATGCGGAGCACAATACAAGCGACCACTCCAAAACAATGAAACTTTTGATCGCATAAACAATCTTTTCCACAGTGTTTCACCTAAAAATCAAAAGAATATTACTTCTGAACTTCGGAAAAACACCCAAAAACAGCCGAATCCTCATGAATCCTTTCCAGTCTCACAAATTTCTCGTACTACTTTCTTGGGAAAAATTCCTCAGGCAGATGACAGCACAAGCGCATTTTTTCCTTCTATAACAGAAAACGGACTTTTACCTTTGGCTTATTTTCGAGAGGGACTAATGTATTTTATTTTCTTCAAATAATTTTATTTAACTTCTACGCAAATGGACGCTTGGTTTGCCGTACAAGTGCATCATTGCTATCTTGTTTTCAAAGATCTTGCTAATTGTGTCTGTATTCGCTTTACTCAAATAAAGCATTTTATTTTTTCGATATTCGGTTGATCTCAACACGCAGCTTTCCGTCTTGTTGATAGTATGTCCAATTTTCATTTAGTAGTGATAATACTATAAGCCTTTCCTATGATGTAAAAACATAATTTTTTGCATATGTTTAATATATCTAGTGGATTCTCTTTTGCTCGCGAAACACATCAAAAGTTATAACGATATTCAATCTTGGAGATATATAAGTAAAGATATCACAATATAGCCAGAGAGATCAATTTTGTTATTGTTTCCCTTATGTATCCTATTATCTTTGCAAATTCCCTAAACGAAAATTCAAGTATTTTGATCAGTATGTCCTAAAATTTCATCCGTTTTCTTATGTCCTCGAGATCAACAACAAGGAACTTTCTAATCATTCGAGTTTGCATTATCTATTCATATTAAACTCATAAATAAACTGATGATTGAGTATCATTTTAACAGTTTTCAAATAGATTGCTCATAAAAGTTTGAAGTATAACCTATTTTGTTCATGATCGTATATTTGTGTATTCATTAATTTCGAAAATAGTGAAAATATAGGCATTTTGTCAGCACAAAATATTGGTGATAATTTTAGAATTAAAAATATAATGATACATTGGAAAATCTCACAAAATAAATATGTAATATTTTCTTATTTACAAATGTTACCGAATCAGCTGTTCAACATGGCGTCCGCCGGATTGTTCGTCTCTCGTAATTTAAGGAATATTGCAAGACTCCCAGGAAATTGCAGAGCACTTCAGACCTCTAGTATTGTTAAGGATTCTTCACCCACTCATACAGGACAGGTAAGAGTTTTTTGTGAGTATTTCGTGCAAAGTCAGGTACGAATGGGTAGGGCACCGTTTGTGATCGACTGCAACTTGTAAATTACTGCATTTTCAGATGTGACTTTTATCCCTGATATTTCCACCAGGTTGAAAAGTCCAGTTGAATAATAGGTAATGGTAATTTTCTATATTACGTCCGCCGGTCCGATATCGACGATTTTGGTATCGTTGGATTCCTCTCACTGTCCACATTACAAATATATAGTTTTGCTCGGAAACCCCCCCCGTTAGTGACAAAGGCAATACTAATTTAGACAACCGCACTATATATACAGGGGAAAGTATAACAGAATTATTGACTAGAGTTGTACATGTCGGGAAGTTAATAAAATTGTGGGGACCTCACTGGTTGTGCTTTAATTAATTGAAATTCAAAAGTTGCCTCTCTATAGTCCACAAACATCGTTGTCTCGGACCATCTCAAATGAAAACAATACTGTGAGCTCTCTGCAATATACAAAATACGGGGTTTGGAGGTTAGGTTAGGTTAGGTTGGTTTGGTTTAGGTTAGGTTGGTTTGGTTAGGTTAGGTTGGTTAGGTTAGGTTACGTTAGGTTGGTTAGGTTAGGTTGGTTAGGTTACATTAGGTTACGTTAGGTTGGTTAGGTTAGGTTACGTTAGGTTAGGTTAGGTTAGTTAGGTTAGGTTATGTTAGGGTGGTTAGGTTAGGTTAGGTTACATTAAGAAATTTCGTCGGGATTTTGGCAACATTGACACCGGCGCATCCCGCAGCGGCGCAGGAATCTCGTTCGGATTATGCATTTTTTTCAAGATATTCACTTTTGATTATACTATTTCTTCCGTGTGTGTCCCCCCCCCCCCCCGCCTACTACAACCCCCAATTCTCCACGAGTCCCCAAGATTGCAGGGGATAGGAGAAAAACAAACAATAGGCGCGGCTGTCTTACTTAGATTTACCGTGACAAACTTGGCCCCGATAGCAGGGGAGGTCATGGAAGGTTCCAGGGAAAATGCAGGGTTAGATAACACTAATAATATAACGCACAGTGAAAATAACAATGGTTATCACAGGACTTTCCATTGCGAACCCCCTGCCCCAACCCCCGCCGAGAAAACATAACTCCACCACGTATTCACGGCAGGCTACAGCGTTACACAATCATCGTCGATGTCGGAGCAGCGGGCGTAATATTACAATTACCTTGTAACATTCCCACTGAATCAGCATATTAACCTTGGCATAGTCAGCATTGCATATAAAGACGATTGTAGTATAATCAGGATGAACAGGGTGACCCGCCCTCGTCGGCGGGTTTTGCGCCTCTTTCGATGTTACACCGATGGCCTCAAGGTCGAGTTTCCCGTCCTCTGGAACAACGACATCCGAATTCCTAACCGAAATAACCATCGCGTTCAGTACTTCGATATAGCCGCCGCCATGGCCGAGTGTGGAGGGTGCTCGTACTCGGAGTCGGATTTCCTGTGCGAAATAGCAACCAGCCAGGAAGAAATGGTAGAGATGTGGGTTATTTTCTATATTACCTCCGCCGCTCCGATATTGATGATTTTGGTATCGTTGGATTCTTTTCACTGTCCACATTACAACCTGCCTCCTTCACCTTCTGCGACCCCCCTCCCAGGGGGGAGGGGGTTGCAGGGGGCACATGAATAACCATGATAGTTTTCACTGTGGGGTTATAATTCATTTCAGGGGGCACAGCCCCCTGCAATGAAAAGTCATATGAATAACCATGATAGTTTTCACTGTGGGGTTATATTATTAGGGTAATTTTATATATTACATCCGCCGTTCTGACATCATCGCCCCTGCTATCGGGGGGTTTCCGTGCAATAAAACCTACATATTTGCAATGTATAGAGTGAGAGGAATCCAACGATACCAAAATCGTCGATATATGAGCGGCGGCCGTAATATAGAAAATTACCTGGGTAATTTTACTGAATATCTTTTCATAACTGATCGCAACGATGTTATTTATCAATGGACTTGTCTCACTTGAGGCCTTCATTGCTCAGAAGTTTACCGGTATCATTACTCTACGCTGCATAGGTTTTGTGACTCTTCTGATGCATAATTAATTTACTTGCAACTGACAAACACTAAAATACCCTTTGATAACATAAATAAAGGACCATAAAATTACCTATAATTATGCTATGTTTGGAACTCCTTGTCCTGCTCGTCCAGACAAGTTGGACAAGATGTCTTGACCATTCAGAATCTCTACAAGCTGTCAATCTCGTTCATCTCGCCCTCCTGCGAAGCTGGGCGAGCAGGACGAGATGATGTCACATTTGTATTTGTATGAAAACAATGACAGTTGCAGGTAACCACAAGATGTTGATTGGTAATTTTATGGCTCTTTATTGATATTAGCAAAGGACATTTTTGTGTTTGTCAGTTACAGGTAAGTTAGATATGCATCAAAGGAGTCAAAAAACCTATGCAGTTTGTAAACTAAAGACATGATAAATGGGTGATTATTTACATTCGTCCAGGTTGTATTTTGGGCACCGAAGGCCTTGGAGGTTCTGAATGCCACCTTGTTGTCTTGCTGGGCCTGACAAGTTGTCTGGATGAGCAAGACGTTGAGTTCCAAATGCAACTTTACATACTAATATCTTGTGGTTTCCTGCAACTGTAATTGTTTGTATACAAACGCTGTTTTGATGTCATCTCATCCTGCTCACCTGGCTGCAATGAAGGGTGAGATGGATGAGATGAACAACTTGTCCAGGATGTCAAAGGTGACAGTCTTGGCCCAGATAGCAGGGAAGGCATGAAAAGTATCAGGGAAAGTGTGAGGTAATGTATAAAGAGAATACACAGAATCAATCATATATTGTCTAATGCATGGGGCTGTAACCCCTAACCCCTGCAATAGAATACAAAGAATCCTCCATGTATTCATTGCAGGAGTGAGCATACAACCGACATGCAGGAGTGCCCGATGCCGAGGTCTGTCCGACACTCTCTCCTGACATGAATACATGGATCCTTTATTTTCCTGGGCAGGGGTCAGGGGGTGGCAGACCTCCCTGTGGGGGCTCCACGGCATAATTCCTACATACATGTGTACTAGAGGGTGAGAGGAATCCATTGTTACCAAAATCATCAGTTATGCAATGGTATTATGTAAATTAGCAAATAAGTTTTGTACTAAAGTTTGTTGAAGATGATTATTATTTGCATCATTTTACTTGAGAAATCCCTGTATGTGAGCTAGTACAGTACCTTGATCATATATTTGTTCCTCAGAGAAGTGTTAAATAGACACTGAATCATGGGATCAGCTTAGAAACATCTAGTCGCAATAATATATTTAAATGATGATTATAGGCACACTATGTGAGTGCACTCAGTTTTTTCACTTTCATGTAGTTGATTACATTTTCTTTAAAACATTTCACATATTGATATCCTACACTTTAACTAAAATAGGTGTACTGTATATATATAATGGTTAAGAATGGTGCAACTTTAAATACAGCCCACAATCTTGATATGATTGTCCCCATTGATAGTTGCACAATGCATCCATTATATAGCTAGGGGACTCCACCTCCTTTGTATTTATACAATAATGTCATAACCATACACCCATTTTTAACACCTAACTCCCAGGTTAGTGGACCCTAAACAAATGGGAGACACTATTGCTACAGGAAAGTCAAACCTTAACTCTTCTTTTGTAAAAAATGTAGAACAACAGGTTTTTATCTTTATATAATTTGATTGTTATAAACCACATCCTTTTGCATTGAAATTGCACTTTCTTTTGTTTGTGTGATTGTCGGTTTTGCAGGCTATCCAATTTAGAAATCATTGTATAGGAAACTTATGAGTTTGTGGTAATACCTGGATCAGTCGCAAGGTAAATTTTTATGATAGGACCGCACCCGTCAGAGCGAATCCCCGACTCCCACCAACAAGGTTGGGGGATCCCGTGGGGAATTGGGGGTTGGGGGGGTGATTTCGTTCATACCATGCATTTTAAAAAGCAAAAGAATGTGGGAAATTGAAAATCCGAGCCAAGATAGTATTTCAGATGCAAAGAAAGTGGAAAATGTAAAAACATGAGAGAAGATTCGGCCACAGATGATTCAATGCAGTGTTGCGCGAGCGAACGAGCGAGTGAACCACATCTTAAACGCACGAATGACCAGTAGGATCGCTGTATGAACCAAAAAACCCTCCTAACCCGGGGCTGGCCCCCGGACCCCCTCCCGATTGCTGCATTTCCCTATCGGGGGCTTGCCCCCAGACCCCTCCCGATTATCTATTTCCCTACCGGTGCCTCTATATCGCCACTGACTACACTTAGAAATACAAAATGAGTTTACCTTAAAGTTGAGGGGACGGTGGTTGGGAAGTGACGAACCGCAGACGAAATTCTACAACTGGAACACGGTTATTGTATTTCACTGAGTTTCGTGTTATCCCCGATATTGTAACGATTTCAGTGAGAGATCGATTTCACCGCAAAGTTGGAAAAAATCGGAAACGCAAGTAGCACTGTAAACAACCTTCACCTTTGGAACAAACAACGAGAACTGTAACAACAGAACTGTCAAATTTGCCGGGAGAGGGCAGCGATGCGCAAGTATGGATATACCATGTATTTCTAATGAAACTATGGTACGTATATGGTAAAATCGATCACATCGTGTATTTAAGGAATGAACATTTGATAAATGCGTTTTTCGTTAAAATTTCATATAAATTAGAATACAGAAATACATTTTACTACAGTGCATTTAAAGAAATTTGTCGTGACGTCACAAGCTACATGTGCCAAACAGTTCAGCTAAGTGGTTTGCTGCGACACGAGGGGGTTGGACTTAGTCGCTGGAGGCTCGTGGGGACTCAATCCCTGTGGCATTCTGTGCACCAACTTTTCCTCATTTAACTCGAACAGGTTCGCTTATGCAAAGCAATTTTGATAGCAATGCATGTAGTTTTTCATCGCCTACAA